TGCAAAATAGTGCAAAATCATGTTGAACAGTGGAAAACTGGTGTAAATTAATATAAAACTGATGTAAAATCATAAAACAGTGAAAAACTGGTGTAAAACAGTGCAAAACCAGCGCAAACCTGGTGTAAAATTACTTAAAACAGTGCAAAAATGGTGTAAAATTGTAAAAAACTGGTGTAAACCCATGTAAAACCTGTGCAAAATTGGTGTGCAACAGTGCAAAATGACACAAAACTGGTGTAAAACAGCACAAAAACAGTGTGAAACCATGTAAATCTGCAGAAACAGTGTAAAACTGTGCAAAACCAATGTAAGACAGTGCAAATCCAGTGTAAAACATCAAAACAAAAGTGCAAACCCATGTAAAACAGTGCAAAACTGGCATAAACCAGTACCAAGCAGGTGTAAAATCATGTAAAACAGTGAAAAACTGGTGTAAAACAATGGAAAGTCACGTAAAACAGTGTAAAAGTGGTGTAAAACTGTTGCAAAATAGTGCAAAAGCGGTGTAAGACAGTACAAAACTGGTGTAAACCCACATTTAACTGGTGCAAAACTGGTGTAAGACCACGTAAAACAGTGCAAAACTGGTCTAAACCCATGTATAACAGTGCAAAACTCTTATAAAACACTGCAAAACCAGTGTAAACCCAGTGGCCAACCTTTAAAAAAAGAGGAGAAAATCAAGGATTGGGAGCATTTGGTGCCCCCCCAGGGCCCCCACGTGTTTTTCCTTAGAACCCCCCTGTTCTGCAGGGGTGTTGGAGATCCCAGGATTGCTCAGGCCGCATGGAATTAAGTGTGTAGGGAAATCTCTGGGTGCTGGGGGTTTGGGGTCCCATCCAGTCTCAGTTATGGGGTTATGGGGTGACAGTCACCAGAGGAGTAAATAAATTGTCACCTTGGTCCCAGTGTCAGACCAAGCCCAGGCACTGGTGTCCCTGTCAGGGTGAGGGGCTGCAGGCCAGGCCCCTCCTGGAACCAAACACCTGGGATTAAATTAAACACAGATTAAGCCCTTTCCAAGACCAGAACCTCCACCCTGACCTGGCAGTCAGGGTTCCAGGGCTGGGCTCCTTTCCTTCCATCCTTGTGTGCTTTCCTTGGCTTAATTTCTCCTAACGAGCTGCAAAAGTAACACAAATAAATAATCCTCGGGGTCACAGCTGACAGCAGGATCCTGAGACCAGGCCTGAGGAATCTCCACCTTCAACAGAAAAATGGACAAATGCCGAGGGAAACAAGGATTCCTCCCTCCTTCTGCGCAGCAGGAGCTGGACCTTGTTTAAACTGGGTCCCTCCTCTCCCCAACAGGGTCCTTGTTGATTTTCCTTGGCAGAGGACGAGGGTGGCCTCACATCACAGCTCGGGGTGGTGGAACCACTCTGTGCTTCTCGAGGAATTGCCTGTTTCCCTTTCCTAAATCCTAAAAATTCACAAATCTAGGGGCTTAGGAAGGAGTGGGGGAAAAAAAATCCACTGGGGAGATCCCAACTCATCCTTAGGATGGCAGGAGTGTTGGAAACAGACGGTCTTTAAGGTCAGTTCCAGCCCAAAATATGACTCTGTATGAGCCCAAGGGAGGTTTTGCTGAGAAAGTGGCAGCAACGGGGGGCCTGATCCATAAAAATCCCACAAAAATCCCCATCTGTGTCTCAGTTTCCATTGGATTTGGAGAGTGGGTGGGCAGAGCTGTGAAGGGAAAAGGCTTGGACACCTCCATGACACACTTTGGGGTTCAGACCCCTGTGACGAGGAGTTCACCCTACAAGTGGCCACACACGTGTCACAGCCAAGGCAACGTCTCACTGTTTCTGGTGGTCACGGAACCCACATCTCCTCCTCAGTGTCCTTGTGCTTTGCCCTCGTGGGTCTTGGCCGTGTAAAGAGTGGGGGGAAACGTAACTCCTGTGTCCCAGCTCCCTGCAGCCTCCCATGCCCATCCCTCCCGCTCCCTGAGGCCTCCGTGCCTATTTTTAATACTGTATTTTTAACACTCCTCAGCCCTCCGGAGCAGGGCAGGAGGGGTGGCACAGGGCGCACTGGCTGGATTTCACACCATTCCAAATGACAGAGGGTTCAGGATACGCTCCTCGTTTATCTCCATTTTGCTTTAATTATTTGTGCAGCGCCTCTGCAAATCGCTTCCCTGGGTGCTGGGGACCCAAATTCGAGCCCAGCTCGCTGCTTATTAAGGCCAGAACAAGCTAGAAGGAGGTCAAAGGAGTCAAACCGAAAGTCAGCGGGGCGCTGGAGGGATAAAGCGGCTGCTCGGGAATCCCGGCCGGGGGCTCCCGCATCCCGCTCCAGCAGCCTCCACCGGGGCTTTGCAGGCCTGATCCTACCCCAGAATTACACCGGGATGAAAGGATGGGAGGAAGGAAGAGCCTCTCAGCCCCTCGGTGTCTGCCCCGGTGACACCGCACCGGGCGCTGGGGACGCCCCGGGAGCCGCAGTTTGGCGATGAACTGCGCGGCCTGGCCGGGGCGGGGCGGGCCGAGCCCTCCCGCCTCCTCATCCTCGTCCCCGTCCCCGTCCCCATCCCTGTCGCGTCTCGTCCCCCCGGGGTCTTCCCGCCTCCCCCTCCTCTGGTCCCGGTCCCGGTCCCGGTCCCGGTCCCGCCCGGGGGTCCTGCCGCGTGGCACCGCGGACTACATTTCCCGTGGAGCCTCGCGGCGGGGCCACCCGGGAGGCGGGCTGGGCGCCGCGCGCGGAGCACGCCGGGAGTTGTAGTCCGGCGCCGCCGCGGCGCGAGTAGCGGGGCGCTGCCGGCAGCCATTACCGGGGAGCGCGGAGCCGCCGCCGCCGCCTCGCCGAGCTCCGCGGCTCCGCCGCCGGCACGGAGAGAGGCCGCCATGGCGGCGTAGCCTCCCCTCAGCCCGTCCCTTCCTCCCCGCCGCGGGCGCTGAAGGCGCGGCGGCGGCGCGGCCTAGCGCGGAGGGGCGGATCCCCGGCCTCGCGTAGCGGCTGCTGCCCGCCGAGGGCCGCCCTCCCCAGGGCCATGTCCCTCGTGGCCTACGCCAGCAGCGAGGAGGACAGCGATGCAGAAGAGCCCGCCGCCGAGGAGGAGGAAGCTCCCGCTTCCCCTCCGGCCGCAGAAGAGCAGCCCCCGGCCCGGGGGGGGCTTTTCGCCGCGCTGCCCCCGCCCAGAGCCCCCGCGGTGCCCCCGCCGTTCCTCATGGGCCCCCCGCCCGCCGTGAGGGGCTTCGCCAGCGCCGCGCCGGGCCAGGCCGGGGCCGAGAGCTCCCCCGAGCCGGCCGACAGCGGGGACGGGGCCGCGGAGCCCCCCAGGCCGAGGGGCCTCCTCCTGCCGCCCCCCAGGAACGCGGCGGCCGCCGCCTCCCCCCCCGGCCCGGCCGCCCCCGGCGCGGGTTTGGGCCTCCCTAAGCCAAAGAAGAGGACGGAGCCGGTGCGGATCGCGGCGCCCGAGCTGCAGAAGGGAGATGTGAGTATGGAGCGACCCCCTGCCCCTCGAGCCCTTCGGGGGTCAAACCTCCCTCCCCCGCCGTGGGTCTCTTTCCCTCGCTCTCTCCCACCGTAACACACCGAGATCTATTGTTGTGGCATCCACGGGGAAGGTCGTCCTGGCTGCCTGCCCTAATCCTAAAGCGCTTTGCAGAATTAAACTGATATAGAAACCTTATTTATAATCATAATGCAGCAAAACCCAGATTATCTGCACCCTTCTTTACTTCTGGAGTTAACGAGTTGATGGTGTGGAGCTGCAGAGCCTCATAGCCCCAAAAAGTCTCTCTTGCCTCCTGTGCAGTTGATAGATTTTCCTGTCAATTTATTGGTTATTTATCTAAAGGCATCAGGCAACTTCTAGACTTTTAGGTGACCATTTCCTTCTCAGCTTGTGCTTTTTTGGTGTTTACGGTGCCCTGTACCTTACGGGGCTCCTGAATCCAGACAATGAGAGCAGGGAAAGGCAGTTCCCCGCCCACCTGTTTTTTGACTCAGGGTTCCCATTGATCAGGTTCCATCCTCTCCCTTTCTGCTCATTTCCTCTGGGACAGCACTGTCATAGAAGCCTGAAATGGTTTGAGTTGGAAGGGACCTTAAAGTTCATCCGGTTCCACCCTCTGCCCTGGGCAGGGACACCTTCCATTAGACCAGGCTGCCCAGAGCTTCATCCGACCTGGGAGCACACTTTCAGGGATGGGGCAGCCACAGCTTCTCTGGGCAACCTGTGCCAGGGCCTCACCACCCTGGCAGCCAAGAATTTCTTCCCAATATCCCAATCTAAACCAGCACATGGAATCCTGAAGTGGTTTAGGTTGGAAGGGACCTTAAAGCTCATCCCATCCCACCGGCTGCCACGGGCAGGGCCACCTTCCACTAGCCCAGGTTGCCCAGAGTCCCGTCCAACCTCACACAGAGGTGACGGTGGTGTTGCTGGTTCTGGTGTGATGGGAGCACCTGTGGCTGTAGGATGAGCTGAACTGGAAGCTTGGAGTCATTTCCCTGGGGAAGAGGTGCCTTGAGGAAGAGGTTTGACTTTGCATTTATAAACAACATCCACTAATAGTGGTCTGGCAGAACCTCGGGGGAGCCCAGATAAAATCAGCATTGTTGCTTTGCTGGGAGAGTCTGCAGGGTCACAGGGAGAGGACACGGGCTCCCCAGCCTTCCCTGAACCACACTCTGCTCCCAATAACCATCCCAGTCTGGCAAATTCCAGAGCCAGAGCTCCCTGTGCCGTGGCTGCCAGAGGGACACCGGACAGTGGGACACAGAGCTCAGCCTTTGGGGCAGATGGATGAGGGATGTACCGGTCCCTCATACCCACTTCTTGCTTACTCACCTCCTTGCAGCTCTGAGGTGTGATTCCAGGCGGCTGGAATGAACAGGGATTTGTTCTTCCTGTACTCCATGCTCCGGTGTGTGGGCTCTGACCACAAATCCCACAGGTCATTGATGTCAAATGAGTGAATGAACATTGAAGGGACAAAACTGGAGCTTGGGATTCCTAGAAGTCCCTGGGCCTGTGACTAACATCCCTCTTTCTCCTTAAAATCCCTCCCATCCCTGTAGTTCATCCCATGGAGATGCTCCAGGGCAGCTGCAGTGTCTCCTCTCTCCCAAACCAACACGTGGGTTTATGGTCTCTCCTGACTCCTTTTATTTATACACATTCCTTGTCTTTCCCTGGTTTATGATTTGGGGATAAACTGGCACAAGCCCTTGATTCCTGTCGCCTCTTCCAAGTCCCCTGCGAAACCATGAAGGGATAAAGATATTGAGGGCCTTTTCTGCTGCCAACCAGGCTTTTCACTCAAATTTTAACTGGATATTTAACAGTTCCAGTGTTATTGGGAATAATTCCCTGTGTCCCTGCAGTGAATTTTACACCCTTTGTGTGATTTGTGCTTCAGTAATTCCATTGTTGTCTGTCCCTCTGAAGGAGAGCCCTGACCTGCTGCTGTGTCCCTGGAGTTCTTCCCTTGGATTTATTTTCCTGGGATTTATTAATAGTACCTTTTCAGTTCAGTATCTCAGGTTTTGCTGAGCTCTGGTTTTCTCTCTCAGTCAGATTCAGAGGAAGATGAACCAGCAAAGAAGAAAAATACTCTTCAGGTAAATACCGAGGGCACTCGATTGAACAAGTGTCACGGGAAAAAGCGTTTGACTGTGACCAGTCCTGGCCTTCCACTCGTGTGAATCAGCCACTCTGATCAGCTCATGGCTTTGGGGATATTCCTGAAATCCGGTGGGGTGTCAAGTCCCTTTTTTGGGCAATTTAAATCTTGGAGAAAGAGGCATCAATTTGGGAGTTGGACAGATGCCTGCCAGTTTCCCTTCAAAGCGCCCCTGGCCTTTTGTGCAGCCAAGTGTTGGGAAACCCAGGAGTGTTGTAAGAATTGGGGGGGATAATTAGCAGATAATCAGGAAAAGTAAATAGTCTCACTCTTTTCTCTTATTCCTGTGATCCACTTGTCCCACACGGATCTGTCTCCCCAGGGACGTGGCGAGGGCTCCGGCTTGTCGGCTCTGCTTCCTCAGCCCAAAAACCTGACAGTGAAAGAGACCAACCGGTTACTCCTGCCCTACGCCTTCTCCAGGAAGGCGGGAGAGAACTCCGACTCCAAGCCTGCCAAGGCCCCGACCTCTTCCTCCTCCAAAGCCAAACCCGCGTCCAAGCCGGCCGTGCCCACCACTCCGTCCCCGTCGGCCATCAAAGCCGCGGCCAAGAGCGCGGCGCTGCAGGTAACCAAGCAGATCACGCAGGAGGAGGAGGACAGCGACGAGGAGCTGGAGCCAGAGAACTACTTCTCCTTGTCCGACAGGAGCGAGCCCAGCGCCGCGGCCGCCGAGCCCTACCTGTACCCCGGCACGGTGGGCGCAGAGGACCCACCGCCCGGCACAGAGCCGGAGCCCCAGTTCCAGGACGCGGCCGCCAACGCCCCTCTGGAGTTCAAGACGGGCGCGGGCTCGAGCGGGGCTCAGCACAGCTGGGCACCCAAACCCGGCGAGGACTACGGCAGCCACCCCTACGGCCAGTTCCCCCCTGCCTACGGCGAGCCCGGCGGCTACTACCAGGTGGGTTCGCTGGCTGCAGGTGAGGGGAGGGGCTCTGGGCACAACTGGGGTGAGGGGCTTGACTTACGTACTGGGGCAGCTGCTCCTGGGAGTCCAGCCCATGAGAGATACATGGGACATGGAACAGGGAATCCAAACTCTGTGACCTGGTCAGTACATGGAGCAGGGAATCCAAACCTCTGTGACCTGGTCAGTACATGGAGCAGGGAATGCAGCCTCTGTGACCTGGCCAGTACATGGAGCAGGGAATCCAAACCTCTGTGACCTGGCCAGTACATGGAACAGGGAATGCAACCTCTGTGACCTGGCCAGTACATGGAGCAGGGAATCCACCCCATGTGAGCTGGGTGAGACACAGAGTAGCAATCCAACCCATGTGAACTACCTGGGACTCCAGGGAATCCAGGGGACTAGCAGGGAATCCAGCCTAGCTGGGAGGTGGAGTAAGAGACATGGAGCAGGGAAACCAACCCATGTGTGTGGCCAGGACACAGAGCAGGGAATCCAGCCCATGTGAGATACGTGGGACATGGAGTAGGGAATCCAGCCCATGTGAGCTGGCTGGGATATGGAGTAGGGAATCCAACCTTTGAGAACTGACAAGGACACGGAGCAGGAAATTCTGTCTGACCGGAACACAGAGCAGGGAGCCACACCACTGGACACAAGGGGGGTTCCTGCGGCACAAGAGCTGCAGATGTTCTTTGCTGGACAGATGTTGGACAGCTGTATTCCTGTGAAAATGCCCCTGGTGTGAGAGTGCAGAGTTGGGGCTCACCAGAGCTGGTGTTTGAGCCCACATTGTTTCTAGAAATTCACAAAATCACAGACTGGTTTGGGTCCACAGGAACCTTAAAGCCCATCTCGTTCTACCCCCTGCCATGGGCAGGGACACCTTCCTCTATCCCAGGTTGCTCCAAAACCTGTCCAGCCTGGCCTTGGACACTTCCAGGGATGGGGTAACCACAGCTTCTCTGGGCAACCTGTGCCAGGGTGTCACCACCCTCACAGGGGAGAATTTCTTCCCAATATCCCATCTAACCCTGCCCTCTGGCAGTAGGAAACCATTCCCCAATGTCCCATCACTCCAGGCTGTTGTGAAAAGCCCCTCAAAGCATTTGTTGGTTTGTACCTCTGATGAAATCCCTCGGGGTGAAAAAGCAGCAGCCCACAGGCAGGATCCCTCCTGCTTCACTCTCGTGACAAACTGGCTTCCCTTTCCCTGCCAGGATTACTACAGCAGCGGGTACTACCCGGAGGTGGAACCAGCCCAGGCACCGCCGCAGGAGACGAGCACCGACTCCTCCTTCATCGACGACGAAGCGGTTGGCACTTTGTCTGTCCTGCTGTGGAATTTGGCTTTGAGCTCTCCCAGAACACAGGACCCACTTGGCAGCCACGGTCCTGCCCCCGCAGCACGTCCTGTGCTTCCCCTGGGATGGGCCGGGTGGTTGTTCCGTGGGGTTTCGAGCTGTGGTGTGGACATGTGAGTCCTTCCCACAGTCTGCTGAGCTCCTGCTCCAGCCAGGTCTGCAGGCTTGATGAGAACAGAATTAATTGTTGGGGTTGGAAAAGCCTTCCAAGATCATGGAGTCCAGCTGTTCCCCTGGCACTGCCAAGGCCACCAGTAAACCCTGTCCTGATGTGCCACATCCACACAGCTGTTAGATTCCTCCAGGGATGGTGACTCCACCACTGCCCTGGGCAGCCTGTGCCAGGGCTGGACAACCCTTTGGGTGTAGGAATTTTCCCTATATCCAACCTGAACCTTCCCTGGCACAACTTGAGGCCGTTTTCTCTCATCCTGTCCCTTATTCCCTGGGAGCAGAGCCCAACCCCCATGTGGCTCCACCCTCCTGTCAGGGAGTTGTAGAGAGCCAGAAGGTCCCTCCTGAATCTCCTTTTCTCCAAGATGAGCCCTCTCAACTCCCTCAGTCACTCCTCAGAAGTTCCCCAGACCCTTCCTGTGCTCCAGACCCTTCCCCACCTCCATTCCCTTCTCTGGACACGCTCCAGGCCTTCAACATTTTTCTTGTCATGAGGGGCCCAAAACTGACCCAAGGACTCAAGGTGGGGCCTCATCAGTGCCCAGCATGGGGACAGTCACTGCCCATGGCCGTGTGGCCACAGAATGGCTGGTACAGGCCAGGTGCCTCCCTGGCTCTTAAAACAAACCACTCAGGACTCCAGGGGTCTCCTGAGCAAGGCTGGAAGCAGGAATAAATGGCTGTTTTCAGCACAGGAAAATGAGACGATAACCATGCTAAGTAGCTTTACTCTGATCTACAGCAAAGCAGAAATCTCCTAAAGATAAAAATCTGTCTGGAAAACTGTTGCTGTGCCTTGTCCCTCACTGGAGGGAGCAGGGGCTCAGCCCCTCGGCCTTGTGTCAGGGTGTGATGGGTGGGTGTAATTCCAGCTGTTCTGTTCTTCCTTCAGTTCAAGCGTCTGCAAGGCAAGCGGAATCGGGGGAGGGAGGAGATCAACTTTGTGGATATCAAAGGTGATGACCAGCTGAGCGGGGCCCAGCAGTGGCTGACCAAGTCCCTGACGGAGGAGAAGACCATGAAGTCCTTCAGCAAGGTGGGGTGGAGGGCAGGGGTTGGCTGGGGTTGGGACCTCAGATCCCAAATCAGCCCCAGCTGGAGCTGTGTTGGTTGCTGGGCAGTCACCAGGGTGGGGACAAGGGACCCTGGTAAATGATGACGTATGAGAGATCAGGAGAGCTCAGAGCATGGTGTGTGGGTGGTGAGGACCAGCCAGGAACTGCTTCAGATGAAGAAATCTGCCATTTAATAGGGAACAAATGGTGCCTGGGATGGCTGCGTGCAGGCCCTGGCCTTGGTCTGCTGTCCAGCAGTGTCTCTCCAGGCTGAACACTTCACCTCCTTTTGCTTTCCAGAAAAAAGGAGATCAACCCACGGGACAGCAAAGGAGAAAACACCAGATCACATACCTGATCCATCAGGTGAGTGGCTTCCCCTGGTGTGGGAGCCAATCCAGGTGGAATTTCAAGGCTTGGCAGCACAAGGCCAGAGTGGTGGAGCTGCTGTTCCAGCAGCTGGGGACCAGGGGATGTCCCTGGGAATACTCTGTGTCCTGGGTGACCCACAGTGGGACCAGACCAGGGGCTGTCTCAGCCCTGGGTGAGATGTGCCATGGCTCCAGTGGGACCAGAGGTGGGTCCTGAGGGGGTCCCAGCCCTGAGTTTTCAGCTTTGCTTCACCCTTCCCACGCATGTCCCGAGGCTCCGGGATCCCGTCCACATTCCACCCCGGGGTTGTCGAGCGGCTGCTGAGCCCATCCCACAAGAGAAGCTGCATTTCAGCATGAATGAAATGCCCGTGCAGCCCAATTAATCCAGGCCTCTGTCAGGATGATTGTGTGAACTCCTGTAACGAGGCTTCTGGCTGAAGGGCTCCGTAATCCGCGTGAGCGGGGCCGGAGGAGGCCGGAATGCTGCTGAGTCACTGAAACGCAGAGCGTAACAGCATCCTCTCCGTGTCTGCAGGCCAAGGAGAGGGAGCTGGAACTGAAAAACACATGGTCTGAAAACAAGCTCAGCAGACGGCAGACTCAAGCCAAATACGGATTCTGACACATCTGTCCCACTTTTTGGCTGGCGTCCCGCGTGACCCGCAGTGTCCGACGTCTCCCGGGAGATGAACCAGGCCCCGCGCAGGACGGGGCTGCTCGGCGGGAGGGAGGACACTGAGCTGCCTTGCCTGGCAGGAGGAAGGTTCACTGCAAGCCAGTCCTGACGAAACTCCACCTGTAATCCTTCCCTTCCCTCCTTGTAAACGATAACGTGGAAGGTTCTGACCGACCGAGGACGGTCCCGAGGTGCCGCAGGGAATGTGCCGGGAGCGAGGCTGGAGCTCCTGTCCCGTGGGAGCAGGGGCTGCTCCTCCCGCCGCCAGACCCTCCGGCAGAGGCTCAATAAACTCCCAATTCCCACTTTGCTCTCCTGGACTCGCTGTGCGTTGAGGGTGTCGTTTTTCTTTCTAAGAGACGGTGAGTTCCAAGAGCAAGCCTGGCTTTGGATTTTTTATTTTGTCCTTATCTTTGAGACGTCCTCATGGCTGCTTCCTCATGTCTGAGCCACTCCAGCTCTCCTCTCCTGCTGATGATTTTGATATCCTGGTTTTTAAGTTGGTGTCCACAGCGTGAGCCACGCTGAGGGGACACCCCAGTGCAGGACAGTGTGTGAGAGGTGTCCCCGCGTGCAGGACGCACACGGTGATGAGGCTCTCCTGCCTGGCACACTCAGGGCTTTGGGATACCCTGAGCCATGTGTGTATGTATATTGTCCTTCCTTTTTCCCCCTTCTTTCCTTCTCCCCCTACAGTGGTGCCTCAGGCTGTTCCCAGACTCATCAGACTGAGTGTCCCAGTGTCCTGCTGGGAGTGAGCTCGGCAGTGTTTCCTCTGGGCACACACAGAGGAGAGCTGCCAACTGTACATTTTTTTTTTCCCCAGCTTGTTTGTATCAGTTCTGGTCCAATTAAGTGCTGACTTTATCCTCCTGGGTGGGAAGAGGAGACCGTGTCCAGCCCTAACTCCTTAAAATTAAACCTTTTTTTTATTTAAGGAATTCCATCAAGGTGATGCAACTCCAAATCCTGTGCAGCCCTGCTGGCCTAATCCATGGATCCAGATCTCTGTGGCATCACTTTGTTGTTCACCAAACCGTGTGATGCTGAGGGAAGCAGAGAGCTGGTCTGGTTATTTAATTTACATTCCCACCACTCTGGGTTATACTTGTAACCACAGCTGAAACGGCCAATATTTGTTTTTCCAGTAAGAAAAACTCCCGAGAGGGGTTTTTTCTCCCATGTTGTCTGTTAAAAACAAGGAAACCCCCTATGACTGAAGTCTTTTCTTAGAACACTTTAAACTAATCTCATTTCTAGTTTAGTTCCCTGGATGTTTAGTACTTTGCAAAGCCCGTTTTGAGTATTTGAATGATCAGAATAAAGTTACTGTTGAGTAATTTATTCATATCTTGTATGTACAGCGAAACCCTCCCAGAAGAGGTTTGGTAAAGGAATAAACTTTTGAATGAAGCCAACCAGCCCCATTTCCATGGCAAGGGGCTCAGCCCCTCACCCGGGGTGTTTGCTGCATGGGGCACAGCCTGTGTGTGCCCAAACTGCCCTTTATCAGGGTTTGGGGGGTGCTGGAAGGAGCTGGGAGAGGCTGGAACTCTCATTTCACATTGCAGTAACGGCTCAGGTTTAGCACTAAGGGGAGTTCTGAGGGCTCATGCTC